AAAAAAAAAAAAAAAAAAAAAAAAAAAAAAAAAAAAAAAAAAAAAAAAAAAAAAAAAAAAAAAAAAAAAACTCGAAATTTTCAGATGGACGAGCTTAGGAACTTATCTACTTTTGCGTTGTTTGAGCTTGATAGGAACTTCATGCATATTGGTGCCTTGACTCCCGCTAAAGCCAGAATTGAACTCGGCAAAGTCCAAATCCCATCCCCACATATCAAACCCGATGCGACAGCTGGACCGAAGGCATCGGCCTTGGTTTTGTTTAGCTTCTGCCACACAAACAATATCAGACTTCCAAGGCTCATATCAATTGTGAAGTACGGCCCTATATAGAATGGTATTGCCATTGCCATTGGTAGAGGAATGAACCTTGCCCACTTCTTTGGTATCAAGTCTTTAATCAAGTTAATCAAAATGGAGGTGGCAAAGAACACGTAACATAAGGTCATACAATTCTTTGGTAGACTCGAGACACCTTCAACACCTAACACGGCCATGTTGCGAAAAAGAACTGCATTAGGTGCAGTGTATTCACCAGTTGGAAGACCAAGATCATCAAATGCCTTGTAAAAGAGCCAAAAGACACAAGGGGAAATAATGCAGCCCATTGTTGTGCCTACTACTTGGCTGACAAACATGGATCGAGGTGAAGCCAAAGTTAGATAGCCAGTCTTGAAATCCTGCATTAGGTCAGAGGCAGTGGAGACAATATTCATCAAGACCCCACAAGCTGATAGACCAGCAACAACTCCCCCATGCAAAGGTCCAGCCCAGGCACCAATGGTGAAAATGGCAAGCTTTCCATAAGTGGATGCCAGAGACCAATCCGTGAGTCCACATCCATATGCATTACAGAAGGCCAAGACAGGAGCAAAGATGTAGATGACGACGATATAATACCACTTCAGCTGGGTAAAAATGTGCGGAAGAGTATTAATCGACACTACAGCAATCATGACATAGCCTCCAATGGCAAACCAGATTGGTATTTGATCCTTCAGAAAAAGTTGTTTCCTTCGTTCATCATCATAAGATAACTCAGACCTGGATGAATTTTCCGAGGATAACTCTTCGGTATCTCTTTTGTGTCTAAGTTGGTGGAGCAAGCCGGAGAGGGTCCGAGTCAATACTTTGAAGAAGTTGTACAGGCCATCACCAAGAATTATGGCTATTGCTATAAATACCTGAGATCAATGTCAAAATAAGTTCCCTTTAAGAGATCTTTTTCTGGGAGAAAGATGGTATGCTTGTTTAAGATGGAAGATCTCACCTTGTAACCTTCAAGTCCACTTAGGTCGTCTGAGCTCAATTTCTCACTATACCATTGACCTTTTTTTTCTTCTATGAGAGGCCACATTATGCCCCAAGAGATAATTCCTCCAACAAGCACAGATACATTTATTATGTGGGGGCAAATCATCCCTACTCCAATATATGTTGTTGAGAAGTCAAAGTAAAACCTACATATTAACCACAGGAACACGGTGATCCACATATTACAATATCTTAATATTGCAAGAATATATTTTATGCTTAGAAACTTTAAATCTTCACGTGTTGTCGAAGCAGGAATATATAAAAGATATAGAAATCATGCTCATTAAAACAACACTAACTTGGAAGAATTAGCCAAAAAAAAATCTAGAAAATTCCACATCGGTTGGGGAGGAGAATGAAATAAGGGTGTGAAAACCTCTCCCTAGCAGATGAGTTTTAAAAACATTGAGGAGAAGGCCGAAAGGGAAAACACAAAGAGGACAATATCAGCTAGCAGTGGACATGAGATGTTACAAATGGTATCAGAGCTAGACATTGGACAATGTGCTAGCGAGGAGGCTAAGCCCCGAAGGGTGGTAGACATGAGGTGGTGTGTCAGCAAGGACGTCGGACCCCAAAGGAGGGGTGAATTGAAGGTCCCACATCGATTAGAGAATAGAACGAGTGCTAGCGAGGATGCTGGGCCCTGAAGGGGGGTGGATTGTGAGATCCCACGTCGGTTGGGGAGGAGAACGAAACATTCTTTATAAGGGTGTGGAATCATCTCCTTAGCAGACACGTTTTAAAAACCTTGAAGGGAAAGCCCAAAAAGGACATTATCTGCTAGCGATGGGCTTGAGCCGTTACACAATCAAAGCAAAGGAATTAGAAATATGTTATACTTGTTTGCATATGCTTTGAGCCCGAACGTTGGGAAGTGCGCAAACCCACAACCATCTGCAGTCATAAAGAACCATTGAAAAAAGCCCCACAAGAAGCTCACAGAGAAAAATCTGCCAAGCATTTTCACCTGCTTCCTGAAAGATTAGGCAAAAATATAGTAGACATTAGAATGACTTCACTTACATATGATTATAATTTATCATATATGAAAGCACATTACTTTGCTAGTGCAGCTCCTCGGGGAGTATGGAAACTATTAATCAAATGAGCAGTTGCAGTACCACTTGGATAAGTTAATTTGAAGTCTATGACCATGATCTGCAATTAATCAGAGGCCAAAGAGATCAAGATAATCATGGATAATGTCAAGTCAACATTGTATTACATTGCAACATCAAATTGTTAAACGAAACATAAATATCTTGGTTTTTTCCTATCTTTTGAATAAGAAACAGATCACTTAAAAAAAAAATTACAGGAGGAGAAAGGAACCACTATCCAAATCCACTCAAACACCATATAGAACATCTGGAAAAAGAAAGGAAAAAAAAAAAAAAAAAATCAAGGTCTCCACATTACCATCAAAAGTGTTTTTTTAATCACAGAATATACCATCAAGAATCTAAGAACAATAAGGTCTCCACATTAATTTCTGTTGCACTAAAGTTTTCACAGCTTATTTTGGGATAAAACCAACTTTGAAGCTTTAGTTGTACTACTAAACTGATTTTTTTTATAATTACTTTGAAACTCGCAACGTGGTAGCATACCTTTCGCAAGGGTACAACCGAGAAAAGGCCAAGAAAGCTAACAACAAATAGAAACCCAATCATCCATCCTAATGATGGATCTTTGAAATCTTTGCTGCCTGATGATTTATGAGCAATCCGTTCGCTCATTCCAAATAAGTAACTNAAACCTCCTGTCAATAGAAAAAAAAAAAAAAAAAAAAAAAAAAAAAAAAAAAAAAAAAAAAAAAAAAAAAAAAAAAAAAAAAAAAAAAAAAAACACAAGATACAGATTAGTCTAACACAAATCAGGAATTAGTTAGAAATCTGTCTATGGATGTTTATCATTTCTAATGATGTGGAATAATAGTCTACCCGGATTCTCCCACACCAGAAACAGATATCAATCTCAAATAAAATTTTACTTCTTGGAAGTTTTGTGCACAAATTGTAACGGCCCAAGCCCACCGCAAGCATATATTGTGCCCTTTGGGCTTTCCCTCAAGGCTTTAAAACGCATCTGCTAGGGTGTTTTTTTTCTCCTCCCCAACCAATGTGGGACATCACAATCCACCCTCCTTCAAGACCCAGCGTCCTCGATGTGGGACCCCCACCAAATCCAACCCCTTTGGGGTCCAGCGTCCTTACTGGCACACCGCCTCCTGTCTACTCTTCGGGGAACAGTGAGAAGGCTGACACATCGTTCAACGTCTGGCTCTGATACCATTTGTAATAGCTCAAGCCCACCGTTAGCAGATATTGTTCTCTTTGGGCTTTCCCTTTCGGGCTTCCTCTCAAGGCTTTAAAACGTGTCTATTAAGAGAAGGTTTCTAAGGGTGTTTTGTTCTCCTCCCCAACCAAGGTGGGACATCACACAAATAGCCTCAGTAAACTGGTCTCCTATTTCATTTCTCTGATCAAAGTGTAGCAACGAAGAAAGTATCACAGAATTCTGTACAAATGAGGAAAAAAAAATCTTCAATTGAAAGAGGATGGATGATAGAATGCTCCTCTCATGGTGATGAAAAACCAAGGAAAAAGTGCAGTAAAAGTAGCTGATCTTCCAAGGAATGGTCACAGATGAGATATAAACGTACTTATATTGGAACAAAGTTTTTCTGATTGTTTTGGTGCAAGTCGCAACTACTTCCATTAGAAGAAACAAATAACAAAAACAAGATGATGCCCATAAAAATATAAAGTTAATTACAAGCAAACGGCAAACATTCTTCACCCCAAACAGGTTTGACAGCAGTCACAATTATCAGACCTCCCATTAAAAGAAATTTGACCATAAAAATACGCAAGAATCTACGCTAAGAACGCATAAAAAGAAATGAAAAAAGAACGGTAATGAAAGCTTGAAATCGAACTCTGTTTCCCCGTCCACATCAAGTGTGAACAATAATCTACGACCAGTGAATGAAAATGGATAAGAGACAAACCGCTGAAAGCGATGCCAGACGAGGCAACGACGCAGGTTTGGATGACGGTGTTCTCCTGCCTGGTGAAAGGCTGCCTCAAGAAGCCTGACCTCTCCAAAAATTTCGTCCATGATTTGACGAAGAAAAATCCTAACAGACCAGCAGATACGTTGAGTGAAGGTATAATGCCAGTGGTTAGATTGAGTTTCATTACAATAACGCTGAACAAAATGCTCAGCCAAAAACTGACGAAAAAAGCCCTAAATGTTAGCTGCTTCCTCCATGAAGGAACTTCTTGGTCTTCAAAGAACTGCTCGATCGACAGTACTCCACCTACTCCCCCAAATCTCTGCCTGTTCTTCTGATTTGGATCGCGTTCACAATCCAAACGCTTTACTACATCATCCTCAACTCCTTTCTCCTCCATAGTGACTTCTAATCGACGACTTAGAGGTTGGAATCAGAACTAGGAAGCGAAACTGCTGATGAGATGAACCAAAGAAGTGGAATTCACAGAAACCGCATAGATGTTGAGGATGTTGCTGTCTTTTGATTCGCGGATTGAAATTTATTCGAGACGAGACAAAAAAAATTGGCAAAATTATACTCCGATTGACTTCCGAGTCGGCGAATTTCAGGGAATCCATGATCTCGATAGTGATAGGATTCGCCAACTTGCCCCGTAGAAATTTCTTCACTTCTCTCGGGTTAATGCATTGGCCTCCAACTTCCCGCGGTACAAAATTGGATAGAATGGATTGGATTCTGTATTTTCTTTTCTTTTTCTTTTTAAATTATAAATAATTAAGGATAAATTTAGGCCATAAAAGCAAATTTTCAATTAATTCAATAAATAAATAAATAAATAAATAAAAGCAAATAATTTAATAACATCAATTCTAGCATTAGGAAAATTTAAAAAAATGTGAGAAAAATTAAAAATTTTAACGTTTAATTTCTCGTAAAAATATTTTTATCGTGATTTTCGTTCAACTAAATTTAATAATTGTTTATTTATTACAAATATATTCATTGTATAATTCAAAATTATTAAATTTATTAGAATATTAAATAAAAAATTATTGACCATAGGGATTAAAGTTTAAAAATGACGGATGAAGAAAAATAATACAATTTTTTTAAAAATAAAAATATTTTATTTTTTATAACTTAACCTAAATAATAATATTATTAAGAAATTTACTTGCAATATTAATTTGGACTTAAATAAAATGGGCCTTAGACAGTGGACACGTGCCTCGATAGCTGGAACGGTACCGTATTGGCATAATTAAATATTAATAGCTGAAAAAGAAGAAGCAACGTGGGCCCCACATTACATAAAGATGCGTGCAATCCAATGAATATGACCACAGTGCCAAAGATCTTGGAGACAACAAATTAATATTATTATTATTTTAAATTAAATTCCACAGCAACCTATTAATTATGTTTTTTAAAAGAAAAAAAAAATAAAAAACTCCAACTGACCGTACGAAAAAAAAATCCAAAAAACTTGAAAGACAGTCAATAATTTGATTAAAATATTTTTTTTATACGCAAGTAAATTATTGTTATAAATTTTTTAAAAGATATAATTTTTATAGCATAATGAGTACATGTATAAAATATATTTGATTTAGGTTGTTGGGTCAATTATTTAATTTTTATTTTTAAGAAAATAAAATATTTATTTATTTATCTCCAAAATTAACAAGGTTTGAGACAATAGAACAGATTTGCTTTGATATAAGAAAAAGCCTAGTAAGCTACCAACTAGGTGCACGTGACCTACCGCTTCGTCTTTATTTTTTGAGACTGTGCACTATGTCACAGGCATTCGCTAGATACCCCTTAAACAAGGTTTGATATTTGCTCCTACATGAAAATCTATTCGCACACTGATGAAATTTCCCGACCCACTATCCAATTATGCACTACTTTTCCTCATTGAAATCCATATGGTGGCATAGTATCAAATGAACCAATTTTAAAACTGAATAAGAACAAGAAAATGCAAACAATCTCCATAAACCCAGGAGATTTTTCATTCTTACATGAGAAGAAAATTGAGTACAAATCAATATAAACAGATGGAAGAAGGAAGTTACACTGCCTGAAGAGTTAAAGAGTAGACAACACAGAAAATGAACAAAGCACTGTAAACAAAGACTAAGATCAGCTGCGCTTACATCCTACTTGAGGTTAGGTCCTATTATCATCCTAAGCTGAATTCTCAAGAGTATTTACAAAAGGAAAGAAATTCCTGTGATAAGTTCTAAGCACGAGACGTCTGGTTGCTGAACTAGCATCGTCGTGAGAGGAAGAACTCGTAGTCTGGATGTCTGTTTCTGGAGTTGAGATTTCCTTTCTTAACAACGGCTCTCGCCAAGAGGGATGCTGTCTCTTCCAGCGTCCTCAGGCGTTCGTCAACGACTCCGGGAGGATTAAACGTCGACGTACTGATTCTTGGCTTGAACCAGCATTCATTCTGCTCATGTAAAAAAGAGAATGCTTATGAAAGATGCCATCAGTCCTTGCGCAATGCAGCAAAAGCACAATTTATTGATGTAAAATAAAGATTGATATCAGACAAAAGTATATGGTAGCTGAACGAGGAACACGGGTCGAGCAATTCATATAGTCGAATGGAGCCTACCCATTTCCATCAATACATAATTAGCCTATGAGATGGACAAGAATAAAGTACTAATCAATTCCAACATTTTATCATCAGAAAAAGTTATTTTTGTTTCCTTTAAAATTTTCTGAACAATACACACAACCACATCGGATGTTAAAGTTGTTAAGGATGGTTGGGAGAGGAGTCCTACATCGGCTAATTAAGGGGTTGATCACGGGTTTATAAGTCAGGAATAAGAACTTATGCCCAAAGTGGACAATATCACATCATTGTGGAAGTTCTTGATTTCTAACATGGTATCAGAGTCATGTCCTTAACTTAGTCATGTCAATAGAACCCTCAAATATTGAACAAATAAGTTGTGAGCCTCAAAGGTGTAGTCAAAAGTGACTCGAGGGGTCGAACAAATGGTGTACTTTATTCGAGGGCTCCAAAGAAGGAGTCGAACCTCGATTAAGGGGAGGCTGTTTGAGGGGCCCATAGGCCTCAAGGGAGTCTCTATGGTGTATTTTGTTCGAGGGAAGAATTGCTGAGGATTGTTGGGAGAGGAATCCCACATCGGCTAATTAAGGGGGTTGATCATGGGTTTATGAGAGAAACCAAAAGCAAAAGCAAAGCCATGAAAACTTATGCTCAAAGTGGACAATATCATTCATACTAATGTGGAGGTTCGTGATTCCTAACAAAAACATGCTGAAATGAAGTACCGAGTATCAAAACTGTACCTGTGCATTATGACTTTGAAGACCCACAACTGGACATACTATACAAGAATCAGTTTCTGAGGAGCTAGATTGGGAAGTTCTACAAACGAAATGTCCTAGTGAGTGGTAAGTCAAAAATGCAGCTCGAAGGTTGCCATCAGGTATCCTATAAATGGGATACCATGCCACTGAGTACCTGAAATACCATAAACAATTACATCACTCTTCTTCTTGCTTCAATGACATTCATATTATTTCTTACGATGTAAACAATGCATTAAGAATTCGGTCACATATGATCCAGTAGACTACGAAAATATAGCAAAAGCTTGTGAATTTCTGTCATAACTAACCATGATCCAGCGTGCAGATCATTCAAAGTAATGGACTCGAGCACGGTTGGATCCCCATATATTTTTCCTCGAAGACATCCATCTCCCTTGACCAGCTGACGTATTCTGATTCAAAAGAATAGACATCAATTCAAATAGTTATCAGCTAGCAACCACAAATGCAGCAATTTTCAGATCCTTATATTAAGTATGCAAACATTCATTAAAATCAGCATACTGTGATAAAGCTATTGATCAAGGATAAAGAGGGCAGATCATTAGATAACGAATATATTTAAATTGATGCCAAAGGCCACTCTGAGTTCATATTGACTATGGAACAAGTTTTACTCCATAAATTGTGAAGATTTTGCCGATGCTAGTCTTGTAAGGCATAAATGCTGCCGGATGGAGTAGAAAAGTGGAGTTTCTTGGAGCTGAATTCCTCTAATTGGTGTGTAGTAATGAGAATGATGATCATTTATTCTTCTACTTCTTCTCCGGATCCATGGAAATGAGCCCGCCCCACGAATCCACAGATAGATTTTCCACGGTCCCATGCCAACTCCAAGAAACTACGACGACAGCATTAAACTTTCCACTCCAAGGTTTAAACCTAGAACCTGAACTCTGACCCCATCTAAAGTCCCAACCCCCTACCGAAGGGCCATTCCTCGGTGATCGTTAAAAAAGGATTATATACTTGGGTATGATCTCTCCCATTTTGTAGTCTCCTATTGTTTCTTATATAACAATAGTAATAATAACAATAAGTTAAAGATCCGAGTTAAAAACAACGAAACCATATTAGTAAGTTCGAAAAAGGGCGTAGGAGTAATTACTTATCAAACAACGGCCTTCTTTGCTGAGGTTGTTCCTCCTCAAAATATTCGAAAATAAGTTCCGACTCTCCAGATAAATTTGAGTCAACAGATTGTTCAGAAAAGTTCCTCTTCTCAGAAGCCAAAGATTCCTCTGAACTATGAAGCTGACTACAGGCCTGGAGAACGTTGGCATTATCAGTACAAGGCTTGGGGAAAAGGACTGAAAATATTGGAAGTTGAGAAGTTGGGGGCTCGTTCGCTTTTATATCGCTTACACGTGAATCTAAACCCACAGGACAAGTAGTTGCTCCAGAATGAGTTTTATGGCTCTTAAATAGTTGAACAGCCGAAAGAAACGGAACAAAATATGCATGGAATTCAGAGTTATCAGCACCAAATCCATTTGAACCTTCATGACCATTGGCTTTTACTTCTAAGCCATAGCTGCCATGTTTTTCATACCATTGCCACAGGCAACCCAAAGAAATGTTGGCAGTCTCGTGGCTACACGGTATCACATCGCCTAGCGAATTTTTTGAGCAAATTTCACAACTTCTTAAGTTGGGTCTTTGGCTAATAACAGGAGAGGACAAATGAAGGAATCTTTCGAACTCTGCAATTTGATGAACAGCATCAAATGCCAATTGTGCCTTACATGCACTATTCACTACCTGTTCAATTCTTGTTGCATCTCCACATGTGGCTTTGCAATTAAAATGCTCATCCACATCAAGCTCGCACCTATGATCCTGTAATGCGTTTGTATCATGACCGTGCGACTCCTGCGCCTCGCATTCCTTTTCTAGAGGATCATGATTTCCATCTCTAGAATGCTGTATCGCCTCAATAACATTAGAAACAGGATCTAGTAAGTTGCAATTGACACTTTCTTGAATTGATTTTTCTGAAATACCGAACTCAGCAGGTTGCTTATTTGCATCTTTCAGAGATGAAAAATCAGGTCTGGCCAACGCAGTCGTCAATCTGGAACCCTCTGCCACACTTGGCACCCAGTTTTGAAGAGGTGATCTAGATTGGTTGCTGTGCTTGCTGCGTTCAGCAAGTGAACTTCCTTTTGTTGCTTGAAAGAAAAGATGAGGAACGTAAACAGGAGACTGAGCCTTTAACGGATTTGACTGATTTACGGAGCTGCATGACCCGAGCGATGTGCTGGACTCATTCTCTACTCTTTGATTATTCAAACCATCGGAGATAAGTTTGTCTGACATCGACCCATCCAGACAGACCTGCGTACTTTCAGACGATTCAGAAGTCATGAATTTATCAGTAGAATCATTCTGAAACGGAGCTCTTGAACCGCTACTTGATTTACTCATGTCAAAGCCCATAGCTGGAATAACCAATCTTTCATTTGGTCGATTGTGCGCCATTGAATTAGTATTACTACCACTACTACTCTTACTAGGACGATAGATCTTATCTTGTTCTGAACTATTCTTATTTTTCAACCTCTTGGAAAATTTGTCTTTCAGTTGTTTTCTATTCCCAGTTTTTTTATCCTTGACCTTTGGCGTTTGCACACCAACAGGATTACATATGCCTTTTAACTGTTTGCTAATAGGACTTACCTGGTCCAACTGTGCACAACATCCACCACTGTTGTTCTTTTGAACCTTTTGCCAGACAGTACGGCTGTTTTCCTTCCCGGTACACCGTTGCGAACTCCCCATACCACCAAATCTGTTCGTCCTAGAATTCCCAGACAATTTTTTATTCTGTTTAGTTTTCTTTCCAGGTAAAATCAAGCACGTTTCACTAGCAGTACATCCCTGAATACCATGATTAGCTTTCTCTGCTTCGGCATTAACGTCCACTCCATCTCTTACGGAGTTGTGATGAGAACAATCATTCTCTCTAGAAGGGGAATTCTGTCCTTCCAAGAGATCAATTCCAAAACCCTCATTTTCAGTTAATTTCAAGGTATGACTATCACAGTTAGAATCTGGGGAATTATTATCAAAAGAATCCTTAGTGCAAAAATCATTGCAACAGCCATTAAATAGCCTTTCTTTTCGATCTACTTCCCCATCGAAACGGGTACAACCAGGTGCTTTGATAAGGGGCTGATTTTCAGATCCATAACCATTATAATCCCCAATAGAATTCTTTGTTGCAGAAGGTGGAATCTCAGATGCATCCCCCTCAACAATTTCAGAGGATATTGAATCTGTGGTTCCAAGTGGCTGAATAATCCTCTCAGAATCTCGTTTAAAATCATTTTTACTGGCCCGAGAATCTGACGGGAAAGTTTCTCGTGCCGTCGAACACAAAACAGATCCATCTCTACAATCTGAACCATTATTGCCACGAACTTCTAACAATGAACTTTCACGAGCAGAATCCTCGGACGAGACTTCTGTTTCAGCAGAGACAAAATCAGAAGATGTCTTCTTACATTCTATATCCCTCTTTTTTGCCTTCTTTCTTGAATTTTTCTTCCCATATCTCTGAATTTTATCTTCACCAATGGGGATGTCAGAGATTGCACTAGAGTCACCTGATATCAAAGCAGAGCTGGAGCATGAACTCCTCCAAGAGAATTTGCAGGAAGCTTTATTTGACGACTTAAATGCTTTACTATCCAATAAGTTTTTATTCGACTCCAACAAGCTTCTACATCTGAATGAATTCACTGAGTATGTGCCATTAGAGGCAGGGCCGTTGTGCACCAATTTTCTATCAGCTGTAAACTGATTCATTTGAGGCAGGCAGCTCACATGCAAGCTATCTAGGCCTTGCAATGGTAGTGCAACAATTCTCCAGAGCCCATCAGATTCCAGTGTAAGAATACTAATGACGGCAGATCTGAAAAAGTAAACCAAATAAGTAAATGAATAATAATTAACAAGGTTCCTTTGACGAAGCCGCTAAATTGGAGCAATACGGGAAAGATTAGAGGATTAGCATGCCCCCTATGCAAGAATGACACGCACGAATCGAGAAATAATAATCAACGAGTTCTCAATATAGGTAAAAAGAAACAGAACAATGTTGTAGGTCAACGATTGTATTACTAAAGAATTACCTGTAATCAAAAAAGTTCCTCCATTCAAAAGAAGAAACTTCAGAATCCTGAAAAAAAAAAAAAAAAAAAAAAAAAAAAAAAAAAAAAAAAAAAAAAAAAAAAAAAAAAAAAAAAAAAA